GCGGGGGGGCTGCAGGGAGGGGGGGCCCTTCTGAACGCTGCCCGAGTCCCACTGTTCTCTCCCCTAAATTACCTCTAAAAGGGCCTCTTGGGAACAAGTCTGTGGCTTACTCCCTAGACACCATCTCGAGGCATTAAAGAACCCAGGTATATATTTTAAACTCCCCGCTGAGCCGGTGAGCTTGTTGGCACCAAGGCAACCTGGTGGAAGGTGTCCCCGCCCATGGCAGGAGATGGGACAAGATGATCTTTAAGGTCCTTCTAACCCAACCGTTCCGTGATTCTAATAAATTCCAACATACAGGTTATAGGGAGCTACTATCAAGTTGCAACATGATGGATCCATTATCATGAATAGACAGGTAAGCAATAAGTCTATGCCTTTTTTCTTCCCTCTTTATTTTAATATCTATTCGGCCTTGTTATTGGGCTATTATATTTTGCTGTTGCAATTTAAACCTTTTATCAGAAATAAATCTTTGAGTTCTATTATCTTGTAACAATCCTGTAGGGACAGGCATCTCAAAAAGCTGAGAGATAAAAATGAGAACGAAAAGAGCCTTTTTTGCAGGCCGCTATTAAAGTTTTCACACTGTTCCATTACAGCTATAAAATAGTGTTTTTATAATAATTCATTACTATTCTGTAATACCCAAGGAATATGTTGTGCTGTATTAATCAACAGTTCTGTTTTGCTAACTTATTAAAATCATTCACTTGAAGTTGCATATTATTTTCGTGCCATCTTGTAGCTGATTTATAATGACTTAAAGTTTATTGATAATTTCTCATTCGCCTCATGGAATTTTCAAATCCTGTTGATTCTTTCTTAAATCTGCTTTTAGTCAATATTTATCATTAACCTACTAGTGAAAAACACTTGACGCCTTTTAAGTGGTCACTGGCTTTGGGTTTTTTTGAAGGTAACGCTCCAAAAAAGAGGAATTTAGGGAAGAAATAAAAGGAATGAATGAAACCGGTTGTGAAATCTGGCGGAAACCTGCAGAATTGCAGAAACATGAGGAATCTGTTTCTCCCTGAGCCAGCATCAATGATTCATTAGCCACTTGCTAAAACTCAATAATCAGTTCATGATTTGCTGAGTTCAACCATTATGAAAACAATACACAGAATCAGTAAATAATGGCCTCTGATGAATCTGCTGTACCGTGTTCCTTTTGGAAGGAGAACAATAGAAAGATCCAGAATAAAAGTAGAAAAGGGAAGCAAATGAAGCCAGTAAATCATATGGAAGCCTAACTTTGTACTGTATATCTGAATTTACTCTGCACATCCAACTTCTTTATAAGCCCAGCATACCAGGTTGTCTGAAAATGGGTTCGTTTTCAAACCCTAAATTTCAGATTTTGCTGTAACACACTGAAGAGCAATAGTGGGGCGGGGGGTTGGGGAGGATTGTTCCTTTTAATTTTTTTTAGCATGTTCTGAAGTCAGAAAATTCTCTCAGAATGTTGAGCACCAATGGCAGAAGTATTTTTCACATGCAGCAATATGTTCTCACTGTCATGTCTCAGAAGAAATCCCTTGGGGCTCGAGATCTGTGCATGTAATACCCAACATAGAAAATTAAGCCTCAATTGACTCCATAAAAAAACACCCAACAAATCCCACCTCTAAGAATATCTAAGCATTGTTTTTTAACGATGATTAACGAGATCCTCTTTAGAGTTCTAATATTAGTTACACACATTTATGGCAAAGCTAAATTTGATATAGTCAGGGATTTCTTTAAAATGCTGGACTGGGAGATAATGAGTTTCACAAATTTCTCCAGCACTCAGGAGAATGCACAAATCTCAGGACCAACACATCTTTCTTCCTCTGAATTGAAACCCTTGCTGCCTCTGTTTTTTAAGTTTTAAACATGGAGGTTTGCTTCTGTGAATGGGGCTCCAAAGGAAAGGAAAAAAAGCCTTCAGTCCTGTCCAGCGTGTATTTTGAAAAACTTAGCTTCCCTGAGGTCTTAACAAAAGGAAATTCTACTTTGTGGGAAGAGATGATTAATCTGAGACGCTCCAATGATGAAAAGGATGCTCAACAGGTCCCAGCCTTTCGAAGGGAGGGTCTCACTCATCTTTGCCAAGGTGTGGTTCGTGGAGCATCTTTAGCTCTTGACATAGCAGAGGGCACCTCGGAATAATACAGCCTCTCTCCAGGGAACAAAATGCATTTCCAAGCCTTTTCTTTACCAGGTTAGCATTTGACAAGCTTGCTTTAATGCCCTCATTCTCCCCAAGTGTCTCAGATGAGGAGGACAGAAAAAGTTTGCGGCAGAGAAGGACAGAAGGAAAAGGAATTCAAGATTTTTCAAAACAGGTGCCAAGAAGCAGACTTTCTTTCCTCGCTGCAGACAGCAGGTAATGAGTATAAATGGACGTACTGGGGATTATTCTAGAAGCTTGGGCCAAAGAAAATGGGGTTTGCTCAGCTTTTACACACAAAGACAGACAAAATCTTCTGAATTCTTATCGTTTAAGTGTATGGGCTGAAAATTGAGTAAAGCTTAAATCCTCCACAGAGCCAACAGAAGGTGATTAGTCCGACATCAGCAATGCATTAGTTTTCCTACTATTGAATTATTATTTACATACCACAGACGTGCACAACCCCTATCAAGGAAATAAAAGTGCAGCCCCTGTCCAGAAGATCTGCTGTCCTAAGTTCATCCTAATATCGATACAAATAATGGAGCACGCTTTTGCTCTCTAAAATGGCAGTCAAAGCAAATTGGGCATTCTGAGCTGGGCTCTGGCAGCCTTTTGTATTGCTTTCATTAGAGTGTCAGACTCTAAAAAAAAAAATAATGTGACAAAGGCAGGGTGGCTGGTGAGCTGGCAATCATACAACGTGTAGAGATCTGAGCCCTTCTGTAATGATCATATGTGATTTACAGAATCAAAGGGTCAAATCCTGCCCTCAATTACGCACCTATTGCGAGGTGGGACACCACCACGTGGCACGGGAATTAGAGAGATTATTGTGTTTCTGAAGAGACAGAAAAATGCTCTCTGGCCTTCAAAGTAAGAAATTCAGTGTTGATCCTGTATTAAATAACAACATATAAATGTACCAAAATATCGGGGCATCTTCAGGGCATTTTTTTTTAATGGAGGTATTTTGGGGAAGCAATAGAACTGCTGCAGGCTCTGGTCTAATATTCTGGGTTTCTTGTCTAATATTGTCCACAGATCAAACTCTGGAAAAGAAAAACTGGCCTTCTTTTAGCCTGTTTGAACACCGAGGCATTGGCTGAGTTTGGCAGTAGTTCCCCATCTCTGCTGTATCCCAACTATCCCTCCAGTGCTGTCATGGGAAAAGTGTTTCTGCAAATGCTCATTTCTGGTATGTCTCTTCACTAATTCCTACACATTCTACAGAAGGAGTATGCAATTTATTCCTCAGATGCACAAGTTACCTAATTTCAACTGCTGCTTTCTGCTTTTGGTTATATGGTCACTACCCTATAAGCCCAAACTCGCTGAATTGTGGAGTTTCTCCACTGACTTTAGCAGGATTTCATTCACCTGACAGGTGCTCTAAGGAACTGAAAGGCAGCAAATCTGAAATATCAGCTGGAGAGGGGCATTTCTGTTCCCCTTTTTGTGGAAACACATGACTAAGACCAAGAGAAGATTCCTCTTGGCTACAGGCTTTTGTTTTTCCTCAACAGCCACCTGCATTTGGTTCTGACCTGTGATGCAACATTAGGGGAAACACCACCTAAAGAGAAGGCAACTCTAATGGACAGATACACAGATTTTCATCTTAATTGCATGTTTTTAGGGCTTCAAAGAGTGTTTCAGAATCATCAGTGTATTATAACATTTTTTCTGAAATGCAATTAATATTTATTGTATGGATTCTTTGGCCTTCCAAAGTAACAGTATTGGTGTCATTAAACAGATGTAATGATTTTTTGACTCGGAGCTGGAAATAAATTCTGACTTTCCATTCAGGCAAAACACACAGATGCAAAGTTAGGGACAATTGTGAATGACATCTAACCAACAAATGGAGCTCAAACAGGAGGAAACACTGGAGAAGGAAATTAAAGAAGGAGAAGGACTGTTAAAGAACAGTTCCAACGATTTGGATGTGCCACAGAAACATCCCTGTCCCAGCCACTGTGCATCTCACTGGAAGAAACTGCGCTGTGGTCTCTGTGGAAGGCACTGTGCTTCCATGGCATTTTAAAGGAACAGAATTTTCTGGATCTTCCCCTTCTTAGTTAATACCCAGGCACACCCTCACACAAACCATATGTTAATAACTTCAGACCACAAATTTAATTTATCTCAGCTTTCCACCTGACATCACTCCTGGTCACGTGGCGCAGACCCATCCGTAAACAAAACGGGGATTCATTTCCATAGCAACAGCGAGGGGGACTCTGATCAGCTCCAATGATTATTTGTAGGCACACAGGCACACAGATACCAAAACCCTAAGTGAGGCCTGATTACCCTGTTTTTTAAATGCAGGCAGTTGGTTTATATGGACGAGCAGGAACACGAGGTAGAGGCGCTCAAAGCTCCCTGTGAAAGGCAAACGAAGCCACTGGTCATTAGCCTGGTGTCCCTTCCAGTTCCTTGGGAATGTGTACATTCCTAATGCCTCCAATGTGATGTGTGTGTCCTGTGACCAATAAAGTGTGTTCTTTGTGCTCCCTGGCAGATGTGCAGGTTCAGGCAGCACGTGCAGGTGTTTTTGGGGCTGGCTCGTGTGGGATGAGGAGAGGTGGGAGCCTGTGGCTTGACAGGAAGAAAAAAAAAGAGGAAGAAAAAGAATCTGAACAATGTGTTGAAAAAGACTCCAGTCAGAGCTGCTCAGGACCAGCTGTTTTTTTCTAATTAGAATAACAAAAATAGCACATGCTAAAATGTTTTTTGTTTTTTTCTCAAAAGCCATGAATGCTTTAGGAACTATAAGGAAAGAGCTCTAAAACCTATTTAAATGAAGGAATGTTTCAGGAGCCATATGGAGAAGAAAAAGAAAAGGCGAAAGCAGAGAAATGTTTTATTTTTAGCTAAATCTGAAGCATTTCGATTCTTCATCCAATGTTACACAGAAATTGTCTTACTTCTAAACTTCCAAAAATGTCAGTGCTGATGCTTATTGTATCATGGCTTAAAGGAGACAGTTAAAATACTCGGTGCCTTTCAGTGGGCTGTTCTTCCAGGCATTGGAAATTTGAAAATTCCATTCTGTGCCCTGAACACGCATGGAGATATATTCCTAAGATCTGTCTGTGCTCTGGTAATGTACGAGAGCTGCACGTAATGAAGGATGTGACAAACACTCAAAACACACCCTGTATCATCAGTCTTTGCTCCTCTTTTTTCTTCTTTCCCCCCCCCCCACCCCTTTTCCTGAAGCGCTGATGATTCAAAACTTTGACTACAGGAATAACATTTGTAACAGCTCTGGCATTCTGGACATCTGCACTGCTCGAGTACTTCAGAATAAAGTCACATGGCCATGGGGAAATTTCACAGAATTCAAATCACAGGGACTTGCCAAGGTGTATAACGAGTTTGTTTTCAGCTGTTCTCCTCATGAATAATTACCAGGCAGGCATATCCTAAAGCGAGCACAAGCTGTCATTTCACCAGAAATATTCAATATTTAAAACAGAATTTCGAATTTAGAATTTCATAAATGAAAATAATTAACAGCCCAGGCAAAACAGCCCAGTCCAAGAGCTGTCAGGTACCTCCTGCCTTTCCAGGAGGCTTCCCAGGACCAGCACGTTGGAGCCACATTAAATTATTTTTGCAACGTAAAGAAAATTATGCAAATGTAAAGGGAATTGCAAGTATCTTTTTTTTTTTTTTTTCTCCCCTAGAACTAATACTTTGCTATCATTTTACTGACTGTTCCTTTACCGAGCACAGGAGGATCCCAAGGCTTCCATCTGTTTTAGTCCCTTCGGATCAAAGCTGCTCGTGGGTTCTTTTCCACCACCATACACAGGAGCCAACAGCAGTGCAGAGCTGGACAGGAAGGATGAGAGGGGGGCATAAGATGCAAGGGATGGGATGCACTTGACCACAAAGCCTTCCTTAGACCCTTTACTCCCGTGCAGGTCCCTAACTGGAAGCTCAGACCTGTGCTGTTCCTTTGGGAGAAGCTGGGAAGGACTCCTAGCACAGGGAGGAGGGACCATGGGAACATGAGCAGCTCCAAGGGATCAGGGTCTCACTGCCCCTCCAACAGCTTCCAGATCAGCTGTGACCTCTCTGTTATTCCTGCAAATATCTGCTCACATCCCTGGGTTTTCTGCTTTTGCATCCCAGGGGGGATGAAAAAAGGGGAGATTGGGAGCCAAGAGAAAAGCACCCTCGCCTTTCACACGGGGCTTAATGTTGGCACGTTTTTGGAACGTTATGAAAATCTTTATTGGAGCTTGAATAATGCCCTGAAATAGTTTTTTGCTGGTTAATAAATTACATTTTCAAATGAGAGAGATTTTATCACCAAAACATCTCATGATTAATTTCTAATGTGAAGCTTATGGCCCGAACTTAAAACATTGCATTTCGCATTTGTGTTCAAAGGTTGAGCACTTAGGAAAGTTTTTATAAGAAACTCACTGTATTTTTTTCCCCATATTGAAAAAAAAAAATCACTAACCTGTTAATCCACTATAACTTCATAACCTCAATTACAGCTCTTGAGATGAAGGTGATTAAAAATAAGTATTTTCCCCCACTTTCAAAGAGCAGGTCACACCTTCCAGAGAAATCCTGTTTCAAATTTTTCAATGATACATTAAGGGCAATAATTAGAATTGGTTAGAAATATTCCATAAGAGATGTTTCCTATTTTTCAACCAGTTCTAACTATACCTACTTGGAGTTATCTCAAGTAGTAGTGCTGTAGTAAATAGAGTGTTTCCATAGGAGGTAAGAGGAGATAATATAGAACTGGATGTACCATAAGAAAGAGCCAGAGTATTCAAATCAGGAATTCCCAGCTCCCAAACTTAAGTATGGACCATGAGGCCAAACTTCTGCTCTAATGAAGTTCTTTAAAATTAATAATTTCTATTAATCAGCCTTTTCCTGAACTTGGCCCACTGCTCAGATTTGTGGCATTTCCTCATGTGCTTGACTGATTTGCTGTTGTTGCTCGTGGGCAGCCCGTGGTCCATCTAAAAACACTCTCAAATGACCAAATGAATCAATCAATATGGGGACCAGAGAAATAATCAATAAACAAGGGCACCAGGCAAAGCTGCAACTCAGTTTCTCCATTTTTCTGGACCTGTTCAAGTCTTGAGGATTAAGATCTAAGTTTCTAATTGATTATGTCCAAGATCAATATGGCATTGCAAATATGCTGATACACTTGGCATTCATTTTGTTAATACCCTCAAGAAATTAATCCAAATTTTGCGTCTCTAACTAGTAGCCAAACAATAATCAGATACTGTATTATTCACAGAGTTGGAAAAATGAGCATAAAAGAAACAAAGGAAATGGAACCACACACAAAAATGCTCCCAGTTCAGATTATTTAATCCTACCATTTACCAGAATGTGTGTTTAATTCCAAGCACAGAAATTATTCCAGACTAATGATTTAAAAGACCCTTCTTTAGTGAGAGGACGGGTTTGGTTGTGTTATTTCCCAAGCACGTTTTGGGTTAGTGGGAAAACACAGGAGCTCTAAACTGGGGTAGGGAAAGGCCACCATGGGAGCTGCTCAGATTCTTGGGCCTGGTGCTGGAATTACATTAAAAACACAGTTATTTGTGCATTTGGGGGCATTAGCACTCCTGCATCAAAATCTCTCTTTGTTTTGCTTTGTTTTTGGAGTTCTTTTCTGGCAACTAAATAAATTGTTGCTGTGAAGAACACTGCACCTTGCTGTGATCCTAAAATGTGGAGAAAAATGAGAAACATTCTCCCAAGTCCCCCTTGTCAATCCCAGCCTTCTGATGGTTTTCCTTTTCTCCTGCAGTACTTCTCCGAATTGTGTTTGTGGCTGATACTTCCTACCCTGCCTTCCTCCCATGGGGAGCTGGAGCTCCACCTTCTCCTCTTCCCATTTGCAATCCATTTTAATAACTTTGTCCTCACCAACAAATAAGAATTTCGCCATTGTCTTTGGGGGAACCAGAAGAGATTTTCAGGGAGCTGAGCTGTACAGGTTTTTTTGTCTCATTTTAATCAGGATGTTGGTTGCACAATTCAATCCTGATTGTGTAATCAGAAAGCAAGAAGAAACAGAACACAAATGAATTACTATGGAAAAATTGTCCTCATAATGGGGTCATGAAGCATAGAGATATACATTTATAATGCTCTGTCAAATTACATTATGCAAGGAAATAAATTATGTTAAGAGAAAGTATGTTTTAATTACAGGCACAATACTTCTTCAAATTGGGGGAAAATTGCTAACCCCTTTATTATTATTATTATTATTATTATTATTATTATTATTATTATTAATTTAGCATCAATATGCACAGAAGTACTTGCACAGGGCAGACATCCCCTGCTGTTAAGGAGTGTGTGTGTGCACAAGTGCAAAATTTAGGGCTGTAACATTTTCCTATTAATATTTTTCCTGTACTTTTTCCCCGTGTGAAATAAAGGGACCTAAACAGTAAGACAAGAGTAGTTTGTTGCCATGCACATGACAGCAGTTCTACTCTGCTCTCACTAAGTGTGCTGCAGATAAAGTGGATTATTTAAATTACACAAGATAGAATGCAAGATAAAAAAAAAAGAGAATAAAGTTTGGGGGTTTGGGTTTCTTTTTTAGTTTTCTTCTTTTAATCCAAACAAGCATTTAAAGAACAGCATCCTGGGGAGAAAGAGGGTTTTGTCAGGACACACAATTCACCTTATAATTGCAAATGGAGTTTGAATAAAGGCAAACTTTTTATAATCCATTATAAAGAATGGCATAATACCACAGGTGTTTGCCATGCCTGTCTGTGAGATAAATTTAGAGATGATATCAATCTTTTAAAACCTTTATTTGTCCATATTTTTCCTGGTTTGCCCACAAAACAAACAATAGTTGCTCTAAGTGCTGAGTATAAAACAGAGATGATATTTTACTCTACACACAGAATTAACCACAAACAACTACCAAAAAAAGTCCCAGCTACCCAGGCAAAAGGTTTGTCCCTCTTCCCAGCCCCAGTTTTCTGGGATAACAGCAAAAGCAGCTTTGGAAATGCACGGAATAAGAAGCCTGGAAAATATTCAGCCTTTGCTTCAGCAGTGCTGTGAAGACCCTGAGTACAAGAGGAGGAGGAAAACACACGGGAAAGGGGAAGATTGGTCGTGCACTTCTCTACCTCAAATTTAATTTTACTTGTTAAACTGTTGCTTAAAAGAGAATTTAAAATCCCTGCCAGGTGTCAGACGTCTCCCCTGCTCACCCAAAGGGTGTCTGGATGCACTAAAGCATCTTTCTTACCACAAGGTGGCATCTTCTTATTTTTATATAAAACATCTGAATATTTACATAATTTGAATAATTTTCTCCACCTGAACGTTTCTCATTCCTCTTTTTGTGACAGCCATTTAACATCTGTGCAGATGCCCAGCAGTGATGTCAGACTTCACCTCCCAAACGCTCCTGGAAGGGTCTGTGGCTGCTTTCCATGGACCCTTTCACACACATCACATGTGGACTGAATCCCCTCCCCAAACCAAGGCTTCAGGAACACACAGATAATCCTTGAAAATTCTGGGGCAAGGGAAATTTAAGAATTTACAACATGTATTCAAAACGCTGAGCTTTTGCCCCCAAATTCCAGTTGGAAAAGCACATTTATTGGGTATCTCAGCACACAGATATTTTAAAATATAACAGAGAAATCCACTAAACCCAGGGAACTTCACACTCCAGACTCTACAACATAACTCAAACCAATTCTACAAACACAGAAAAAATGCATGAAAAGCATCAGCAGGGTTTTTTTAAACTGTGCTCAGATCACTCCTAATATAACCCATATGAGAAGGCAAAAGGGAGACGTTTAAAGCCTCTCTCTCTCTCTAACAACTCTCATTTGGCACAGTCATTGGTCTCCTTCCAAAGGTGAAGGTTTTTATTAATCAGGAGAGCACAATGTCCAGCTATGATGTTCAACTAAACACAAGTGGGGATTCAGGACTCAGTTCCCCTGACAGAACTCAATCCACCCCCCACCACTGTGACTCTGCTTTAAAAGCGAAAGAGAAAAAGGAGATTTGTATTTTTTAAATGCTACAAGTTCATTAAATATGATCCTGGATCTGCTGATTCAACTGCAAACTGCTTCAAAAGGCCCTGAACTCAGGCTCCTGTCCCATAACTGAGAGGAGTTTAACTCGCTTGGTGCACCACGAACGGAGAGAAATTTCATGCCAAAGCTTTTTCAGGAAAAAATTTAATTTAATGCCTCTGAAATGTTTCAGAAAATTCTTCTCTTCTTCCCCAGACTGGTCCTACCTAGGAGATTTTATCTCATGTACTAATCTGTTTTTAAGTTCAGGGCTTTTCACAGACTATTCTGTGGTGGAGGAGACCCACAAGGATCACGGAGTCAAACTTCAGGGAACAGTCTGTACAGGGATTGAACCCACAACCTTCTTTATCTTTGCAAAGAAAATTAGCTTGGTTTCTAAATTGGAGGCAATTTACCTCAAAGAAATTTTAATTTTAAATGCTTCATGGTGAAATGAAGGGTTTTGAGTAAAAGGGAAGAATTTTCTCCTGTACAATGAATGGGTTCTGATCTTGGTGCAGGAATTCTGAATGTTGGAGAAGAGAAGCAGAACATTTCTAAGCTTGATACTTCCCCTCCTCTTTAAACAAGATATGGGACATGTATTTTTGATTTCCATGTGCCCTCAGTTCCCTCTGTGTCCCACTGGAGACACCCATCCAGGGAGGTGGATGCACAGATCCGGATCTGCTCGGCTGGGAATGAGTAACTTCCCTTGGCACCCGGATCAAAAGCACTGAGAGGAGGCTGCAATCAGCTGCAAACACAAATGAAGCAACAGGTCTGGCCATTACATTTACTCCCAATTGTTTGCAGCTGCAAAAACAATATTTTTCACGCAAAAAAATCCCATTTTTGGCCCCAGACAAAGATCAGTTCCTCTCTCTTATCTGCTGTTCTGGTAGAGCTTTCAGAAAGCTTGTAACTTGTAACTGAACTGGTGTCTAACAGAGCATCTGCAAAGGAAATTACTCCTAAAATCATTCAGTGGAGCCACACCACTAGAAAGGGACAGGTAGGATTAGTGCTCCGGGTATTCCCTGAGGTATGACAATAAATAAAACCCCTTAGTTTTGATTTAATGGCAGGCATTTAAGAAGAAGAAGAATTTTGTGCAGTATCACTAAGCAGTTCTCCAAGTGTTTGGAGCTAAAACAATCAAGGAGACAGTTGTATAAATGGTGTTTTCTAGTTCCTCTGGAGCTGCTCTAATTGAGTAGCTGAAGCCAAATTTCACTGTACTCAACATGATCTTACCAGTAATTTTCTTGATCAGACAATGTCTTGATTTGTGTGCAGAATATATAAAGTGAGAAGTGCCCAGGTGTTTGAAGCCCAGGATGTGACGTCCTCAAGGGCAGGACCTGGCTCCTGGTAGGCTTTGGTCACTTCTGTGCTAATAATTAATGCTTGGAAATAGAAATATTAACAACAAAATAACTTAGGGGCAAACCCTCTGTGCTGAAGTGAAAAGGAGGATTACTGGTGCCTTCCTTGTGGGGGTGACAT